CAACCGGGGATATAAGACCTCCTGCCGTGCCAGTTCCTCGCTGCAGGCCTTCGCTGGTGCTGCCTTGCTCGTAAGCCTGACGGTTCACACGTAGGCTGATCCCCTCCAGCTGCCCATGTAAACGGACGATGGGCGCACACCAGCTAACCGCAAAGCCTAAGCAGTACTGGGAGAAGCTCGTTGCTCTGCAGCTCTCAACACAACACATACCACCGGGATATTTCCTCTTCCTGCTTCATACGGGTGCAATCTTTCTGCAAGCTCTTCGAACATCAGCGACTCAAGGCTTAAGGCAAAATCGTGCCAGTGAGACCAAGGTTTAGGCCTACGTGAAGTTCCCCTGCGTTGCGTGGGATAATTAAACAAACCCTAGATTTCCACCCCCGTACAGCTCAGCAGCCACAACGTAACGGGCACATTCTGGCCCGTCAGGAGGGCGCACCAAACACAGTTCCCCTTACCGGCTAGGACAGCTTTGGCTTTTCAGCACTGCCGGCATTACTCCAGCTGGTTTCCCAGACCCCTTTGCGCCTGTCCAGATGCAGCCTTTCGGAGCTAAGGTCAGCCAGCCCCTGTGCCCGGGCTTGCAATTAGATTGCATCTATTTGCCAGATGCTGCTACACACCACCAATTCCCAATTCTATTATCTAAACGGTACTTGAATGAGTCAGCTGGATTCAAGCACCCTCACAGGTGCTTAAGTCTTAAACTAGGAAAATTTTCCCAACACAAATCTCTTCTTCAGTACAGAAAAAATAATTTTCTGTGGAGGAAAACCAACTGCAAGTCCCTTGTGATCTATTCTTCCAAACCCCTGCTCTACAGAGCCACAGAGTTCTGCTGAAATAGGTGGAGCTGGAAATTAGTGCTCAGTAATTTTTTGGCAAAAAAAGATTATCAGTATAATGTGCTCCAGTCCAGTTTCTTTTATACCTATGCCACAGGTGATCTTCAACTGTCTTTGCATTTGTATGCTCACCGTGGGCGCTAATATTTATTTCCCTGTAGGTCATGGTGCCCTTATATGTCCTCATATCCCTACTGTCCCTCCGTTGGGACAGTCCTGCTCACCGTAAGAGTCAGCAATGTCCACACTGCATGGCTGGATCACACCATTTCACAGGAACAAGGTACCACCCAGAAAAAGCCTAAATTTGTTTCAGAAT